ATACACCTTAGGAACAAACTGTTAAATTCGTCAAGAAGAATAATTTTGAAAACGGCAAATCCATGTAGATTGGTGGCTTCAGTGTCAGTGGGACAGTGAATGTGCTCCAGGTTTTAGTCCAAACTTTGAAGGAACTATCCAAGGTGCTGAACCTCATCCACAAAATAAGTTCAACACCTCGGATATCTCTTTTTAAAGTGTGGACTAAAACCCAGATTGGATTCAATGTTCCACTGACACTGGAGCCACCACCTTCTAGTCTACATAAAGCAACTAAAAGGCATGCCCAAAGTGACATGATGAAATTGGGCCAAGGAAGAGCCACAAAGGGCTCCTGTTGAATCCATCAATAGAAGCTTCATAGTCCACCTCACTACCTCTCCTTCTACCTACACACACATGGACAAAACAGCATCTCAATAGGTAGAAAACATCACAGGAGTTAAAATGACATTGAAAGTTCTATCAGAAAAGAGGATCAGGGAAGAGGATCAGGCTCTGCATAGAGCTTGGGAAAATTACATTTTTGGACTAGAATTCTCAGCATTTCCCCAGCGGGCCAGTTACCACAAAATAAGTTTATCAAGTGCTGGCTACAAATAAGGCATAGGCACTAACAGGTGGAACAGAGGAAGTGAGTGGAGGAACTGAAGGCTGAATTCAAAAGGTGTGTGTTTCGATAGGAAGTAGAGTACTAAGAGAACATTCATGAGCAAGAGAAAATGGGGAAGTCAAAGCCATCGTCTGTCTGAGGACTACAAAACAATTTTTAAAAGGCACAGCCATTTTGAACATGAGGACGAGAAAATGCAGAGGGCTGGGGCTCCTAGTCTTTGTCCCGAAGTACCTCAGAGAAACCCGCATCCCCAAAGCAGTCCTACCTTTGTTTTCCAGTTTGAGTTCTTCCGCAAGCAAGCTGTCCTGTCTATTGCCAAGTACAAATGCCAGGAACGAGAGGATGAGGGCATCCAGGATGCCAATAATGGCCAGGATATACGCCCAGCGGATTGAACAGGCCCCCAGGGTATACTTGTCTGTCCTGTCACCGCACATCCGCTTCACCTCTTTTGCATCCCAGCCATCAGGATAGATCATACAGCCAAGGACGAGGCAGAGAGCTGGAGAGAGAAAGAGAGCGAGAGTGAGAAAGAAAGAAAGAGTGAGAGAGTGATACACACTTCTTTTCTTGATATAGCGGTTCAGTTTCACCACTACGCACATGTGGTGTTTTTGTTCTGTTTCACAACTGTTGCCATGCTTAACTCCACTTTATGACCTAGGAGCTCATGCGCAGGTCATTTAAAAGACACCCCAAATATATTTGTTGTGCAGGAAGTTGAAATGCTGTTTGTTAGTGTCAATCCGAAAAGCTCCTCAACATGTCATTTTTTAAAAAAATGATATCATCAATAACTCCTTTGATTGCTTTTCATGCTTTCTGAGTCTGCTGTATAAAGGCCGTTGCAAACCAAAGTGATGAACAGGCACATCCATTGACAGCAGAGAGCCAATGGGTTTAAATTAAAAGTCCGCCAAACCTTTCATGTAAACACACAGGTAGTGGAGTAATGGAGACAGGGCTCACAGGGTTGAAGTCCCAGGACTCTGAGAGTAGGAAGAACTATTGACACAGTCTGCCATCTCCTCTGGTTTCCCACTCCTTTCTGAGGTTAGTTGTAAGCCTCATAGTAGCTGGGGGAGAAATAGATTTTCCATTGTTGTAAGTCTTCCCAGTTGTATTGCAAAGTATCTGAGAGTGGTTTGGCCTCCAATGGGCAATTAACAGTCATTCACTTTACAAAAGACCTGCTCTTCATTTGTTGATATGGTGCAATTCAGCTCTGTTTCTGGACTCTCTTGAAGGTCAAGGACAGCTGTGGGACTTGGGCATCTGCACTTCATAAGCCATTGCACACTGATTGGGAAGGAGACCAGTTTTATTGAAACTGCGCTTTCTGTCAACAAAACATTAACAAAACAGACTGAAGCATGATAGAGCTTATATAGAGTTAGGTTGAATGGCTGGACGGTTCAGTGAATTAGGCATCTGGCTGGGGAGCGAGAGGCTGAGAGTTCAACTCCCCACTGTGTCTCCCAGGATAACAGGCTGCCCTTGTGGCCTTGGACAAGCTGCACAGTCCCAGGAGAGAGGAATAGTAAACCACTTTTCAATATTCTCTGTCTGGAATCCCTGAAAAGGGTCACCATAAGTCAGAATCAACTTGACATAATATTATTATTACTCAAGTAAGACAGGCCTACCGAGAGTAGAGAGAGTGTACTATAATGGCTAGAATGGACTAAAGCACAAGAAACCTGGGTTAAAATCCAACCTTAGCCATGTTACTCACTGGGCGACCTTCAGCCAGTCACATTTCCCAGGCTATTCTACTCATAGGATTGTTGTGAGAATAAAGTGAGGAGGAGGAAAAACATGTAGATCACATTGAGTCCAGTAAAGGAGAGGTGGGACAGAAACGTGAGAAAATAAATAATCAATATTTTGCGGTGGCTAATATTTTTTTAAACGCTCTCCACTACATTCTTAATTCTGCTACCAACTTTTAATCCACATAAGAGCCTCGTGGCGCAGTGGTTAAAACGCTGTACTGCAGCTAAAAGTGTGCTCACGACCTGGGGTTCAAATCCCAGGTAGCCGGCTCAAGGTTGACTCAGCCTTCCATCCTTCCGAGGTTGGTAAAATGAGTACCCAGCTTGCTGGGGGGGGGGGCAATATGTAGCCTGTATAATGAAATTGTAAAGCGCCCGGAGAGTGCTTGTAGCACTATGGGGCGGTATATAAGTCCAAAAATAAATAAATAAAATAAATAAATTTTTGCCTCTTATACACTATGTAGTTGAGGAAGACCTTAGTGGTAGTCAGAATGTTCTACAAATCCTTAATAAAAGGAGAAGCTTCTTCCAGAATGTACTGTATTAGAAAGGACAGATCACTTTCATGGATCTTATACCCAGTACGAAGAGCTGAACTACGATATATCTGAAGTCCTATATTTATTTTGCTGCTCACTGAACTGTATATTATTAGAATCCTACATTAGTCATTTTAGTGATTTGTCACAGATGAAGAGAGTGAACAGCGAAAAGTACAAAATGGCACAGATTTGATTTAAACTTTAATTTGGTTTGCTTGAAAAAAGAAAATAGATGTCAAGACTCCCGAATACATTCGGCATGCTAAAAAATCATTATGAAAATGCAGCATTTTTTTGCAATTGTTTAACTATAAGCCTTAAACTATTTGGGGACAAGAACTAAGAAGAAATAATAAAATTTAAACAATACAACAAAAGAAATACAGATGTCTGGGCTTTTTAAACAATTAAAGTGGATTTAATTTTTTAATTTAAAAAACAGTATTTTACACAAATCCCGGTGATGTCAAAATTAACTTATGTCAAGGTGAGAACACATTACCAGAGAAAGGAGCTTCTTTTGGCTTGATTCAATGGGAACATGCAATTTTCTCAGGCAAAGAAAAAAAAATTTGCGCACATGCACTCTTAAGCAAGATTACCTAAACACAGCTTTGCCTGGGCATGGCTGGAAGTAAAGATACACCTTTCAGATGCACTTCGGCAATTTTACATCTATCAGTTATAAGATCATAAGATATAAGATATTAAATCCAAAAAGGATAGCTAGAAATTTTACTTACTCATCACCTGCCCTGAAAAACTGAATTTTGGGTTTTTTACTCCTTCCCTGAGGACCAGAGGTATGAGTATATGCAACCACATCTATTTATTTTTGCCCAACGAGTACCATTTCTATTGCTTGCCCACTGCCACAGAACCAGATATGCCTAGAGAAAAATTCTCACCACACTTCATTTCTGAACTGATATATGCGCCCATCTTTCCATAGCCCTCAGTCGTTATCTCAATATACTTTGTGTACATATTAGAATAAAATATTTAATATAGGCATGTTGGGCAGTAGGAGCAAAAAGCAAGATGCAGTAGAAAGAGCTGATGTCAAGGAAAGGACTCCTGGCAGTTCCCCCCAAACTCTCCTAAAATCTCCTCAGCTCTTTATGACAGCCATGCTGTCAGACAATCCCAGTCCCATAGCACTCCCTGCATTTTATGTCAATATAGTTTCATCCAGACCCTGGCAATTCATAGGGGATTTGTAATCAAGCAGGTGGTAGGAGAAAAGAAAGAAGCTGAAAATGGAAGTAAGAGAGCAGGCTGGAGGTTTGGAAAGGGAATGTTTGTATGGATGATGGGTTATCACATCTCTAAAGCTTTCTTTATTAGCAGACTGTGGGTGGCCTCTACAGCTCCCTCCATGACAATACTGTAAGTTGCTCCAGAACTCGGCTCTTTATTGAAGTCAACACATGTTTAATGGAACAACACAACTTTAAAAAGCCAACAGGGTCTAACAATGTCCAACACCAATGAGCGGCTGAAAGTTAAATGAACACCCAGCCTGTTTCAGTCTTCCTTCTCCCATCTCCTACACTGAGGAGCACAGGCCTTACTACTCCACCAAGTCTGGAACTCCATGGAGGTGGGCTAGGCAAGAGGTCCAACAGGAAAGATGCTGGATCCATATCATCAGTTGTCCTTGCAGACAGGGGTGTAGGCACCCTCCCTGACCGGACCTCCTTGCCCTTCCTTAGCTTCAGCTGACTCAAAGGTTTAATAGCTTTCTGTTGAGGCTTGTCCAGATTTCACATGACCCTGGCTAGTTTCATTGGACCAGGGGAATGGAGGACATGACACCAGGGATGAGAACACGTAGTGAGGAGTCTCTGGTGGACTAGCTGCAACTGGCACCTCATCTTGGTGGTGGGCCTAATCTTTGCACACTTGGGCAGCCTCTTCAGATGACACAGAGAGGTCTACTCAGTTCCCTGTTGCAGGATCATGCTCATGAACCATGTCCCAGCCCTCCTTTCAGCAGGATTCAGCTGGCAACATTTCCTGGGCTCACTAAATGTTTTAGACTTCACCTCCCAGAATCCCACACAAAAATTCCAGCTGGGAGAGGCTTCTGGGAGCTGAAGTCCAAAATGTCTGCACTGAACCACCAATCTAGCCATTTTAGATGCAGAGATGTGAGGCAAAATGTTCACTCATTTTTTTCTGTCCAACTGTTGAAGATCTGTTTGGTAGCACTGCCTGCAAACAGTGCACAGGAAGTACTGGAGTAATGGGAATAAATGAAGTGGACAATAACACTTATTGAGACTAATGAGTAATGCTTACTCTAGATTTCTGGAAAGTGGTTTCCAAATAATGGTAAAGAAATGACTCAAGCTATCCTAATGTGTTTTGGGTGTATGGTATGGTCCTTTGAATTGCTTCCTCAAATGCTTATCCTAAGTTAAGCACTCAGAACCCAGTATGCTGTATGAAACGGAGTGATTATCATATTTGAGGCACCACTGTAGTAAGAATCTGAACACACACACACACACAGAGAGAGAGAGAGAGAGATGTTTTATACAGAGAGAGAGAGAGAGAGAGAGAGAGAGAGAGAGAGATGTTTTATATAGAGGAGGAAACGAAGGGAATATGGAGAGAGCAGTATTACTGTGAGATCCACTACATGGAATGGTCACTGGAAGGTAAACAGGGATTTCAGTTGCAACCCTTATTTAAGCAGGTATGAGATTTCAAAGAACAATGTGCCTGAATGGAAAAAAGGAGGAAATGCACATTTCCCTCAAGGTATAGTTTGGCTTACATATTTATCAAGATAAACTCGTGCTGTGAATTCAAACAAGCAATGTGTGAAGATGCCTTTCCTTCTTCATCACTAAGCAACCTTGCTGCTGCTCCCTCACATCTTGTTTCCTTTCCCAGCTCCTCCATCAAGCTGGCAAAAGCTGAAATCTGCAACAGTACTATTTTGCAGACCTTTGTCAAGGGGCCACTTGATTGTTTCTGCCACTAGACTTGACTGAGGGACCAGTTGCCAGCTGGGCAAAATGTGGCTATCAGGCTCCTCTGGGTGGCACAAGCAGGTGACAAAGAGAGCTTAGATTTCTACTGAGCTACCATTTGGTCTGTGCTTGCCAGGGATTTTTCAAAGACTTGTTGTCATGACCAGAGGTCTTCTTCGAGGCTGACAGCTGACAAAG